TTTAAAAACAATTACCTCCTGGAGACCTTAAAATGGATTTTACTAATGAAGAATGAATGTGGATTTTTTTCATCAGTAGTGAATTAACTGTGACTATGGAAGGATGTTCACAATAGCAAAACAAAATATCCTAACCTGGTCTACCCACTTAGAAGTAATTTTGAACAGTGTCCATCAGACTAACAAAAAAGTGTTTTCTCCCGTGCCCTAAAGAAAAGAAAATACACACATATATACACAGCAAGATGGTAATTAACATAGCATTTGCCAGAACATACTGTTTTTTAATGACCAATACTATTGTACAAATTCATACAAGGAAATCTGCTGGTTAAGTTTTTTTATTTCTTTGTTGGTTGTTTGTTTCAGCTGGTGGATAAGCAAGATTAATCATTCCATGATCTCTGCAGAATTGTCATGCACAGATCCTCAACCTGATCTTTCCTCCACAGAGTACTAATGAGACGTAGTTACAAATATCCACATGCAGAGAGGTGGCTTCATTTACTTTGTATGCACCTTACTCAGATTGTAAAATACAAATTGAATTTTAGTGAACTAAGCACTGACAATTTCTTAGAAATCTATCAAAGAATGAAAGGGCAAGTTCTATTGATTGCTAAGAGTTAGCAAGTTATGGAGGGAGCTTTTCCATAACGAGAAAATGAAGTTAACCGAAGTAACTGTACTGTATACAGTATATGTATTCCCATAACTGTATTTTGGGGCTGTACAAATGTTTTGAATGCTCAGATTCATAATGAGAGGGATAAAATCTCAAATAGAAACCAAAGATTCAGGTATTTATTTTTAGAATTGCTTGCTTATCATAGAATCATAGAATGATTTAGGTTGGAAAAGACAATGATGACCATTTAATTCCAATCCTACTGCCATTGGTAGGGCTGCCACTCACTAGATCAGGCAATACAGATCACCATCCGGCCTGCCCTTGGAAACCTCCAGGGATGGGGCACACACACATTCTCTGGACAACAGATTCCAGTGCCTCACCACCCTCAGAGTAAGGAATTTCTTCCTAATATCTAATCCAACTTTACCATCTTTAGTTGTAAAAAGTCCTATCACTACACACTCCGGTAAAATGTCTCTTACCCTTTTTCTCATAGGTCCACTTTAAGTAATGGAAAACTGCCATGAAGTCTCCCTGGAATCTTGTCTTCTTGAAACTATATAATGTTACTTGTATGAGTGCTTTTCCATAAGAGAGATGCTCCAGCCCTCTGATCATTCTTGTTGTCCTCCTTTGGACTTATTGTGCACTCTGTACTCCAAGTAGAATCTTGTAAGAGGAGAATATTTTTGGGAGAATTGCCCCTCAGTCTACCAGATATTTTTTTTTTCAATGAATCTCAGGATACGGTTTGCTTTCTGGACTCCAAGCACACATTGCCCACTTACGTTTTATTTTTACTTCACCAATAGACCCAAGCTCTTCTCAGGGTATTTCTCACATCACTGAGGCCTACATCCTTGAGCCTGTAAGTGGGAAATAGGGGTGTAAATCTCTCCCCCTGTAAGAGATTACTTTTTTCATCATTGTCTCAAAGCTTACTGGGGCCAGAGATGAACAAGTCCAAGCAAGTCCTGGAAAAGGATTGGGAAATCCTTTGTCTGAGGGACACAGATGGACAAGGCCAGGGGCAATGAGAGAGATAAGCAACAGATTAATGGTCAGGAAGCAGTCTTTTGAGTGAGCTTATTTCGAGGAAGATGGCCATCTCAGGAGGTGCTGCAACAAGACTCTTATCCAAGCAACCAGGAATGCCACGCTGGGAGAAGAAGAATAAAAGGGGGACCTACAACCATGAGGTTTAAGTTTTCTGGCAACAGATTCCTCATGAAGAAGAAGAGGTTTCTGCCATGAGAAGCCTCACGACCTGCCTGTCTCCCTCTTGGACTTGCTCTGCACTCTACCAAGATGCTGAAGAACAAAGGTGTCTGCCATCAGGTCCCTCACTACAGAATGTCTGCCTGCTGACAGACTGTCCTGGGCCTGCCACCTTGCTACCTGAGTTCTGCTGCTTCTTCCTGGACTGGCTCTGCAACTTCTTCCTGCTACCTGCCTGCTGCCCAATCCCGGCCACTCTGCTGCTGCTCTCCCCTGTACTTTTGCCTTGGACCTTTGAAATGTCATGCAACGGGACTACTTCTGGATCCTGGTGGTGACTATCGCTGCTTTACGCAATTCTTGCTTCTTTCCTATTTTTTCTATGGCCCTCCTTCCCTTCCCTGTCACCCTAATTCAGAATGGTTGCCATCCTTCACTTCCCCCTCTCCCTGATTAGGATTTATAACAAATTAGTCAGACCAGCATTTGAACCATTGTTTCTTAATCTCACATATATTAAAATTATACATATATTAAAAAGAACCTGCTCTCCTTCATATAAATTGGAGCAAGACACCCCCCCTGCCGTTAGGGCAGAGCTAGTTTGGGACCTCCTTGTGAGGCTGAATGTATACGAGTCCCTGGGGCTGGATAACGCATCCTAGGGTCCTAGAGGAGCTAGCTGATGTGGTTGCTGAGCTACTCTCCATCGTATTTGAAAAGTTGTGGCTGCTGGGAAAAGGAAATGTCACTCCCGTATACAAGAAAGATGTGGGTGGTACTCAGGTTATGGTGAGTGGGAGATACTGGGGGTGGTTTTGGGTTATGGTGCTTAACGGGTCATGGGTTCATGGGGAGGTTGTATGTCAAAAAATATAGGCGGTTGTTGTGCAGCAATAAATTGGCACTTGAGCTACACTGTCGTGTCCCTGTAGTGGGTGGGGTGCAGATGGTAGAGGCACTGATGCAGTGTTGTTGACTGGGCTGCGGTTGCAGGGAGGTTGGCAACAAGTCATGTCCCCAACATGATAAGGTGTGCGCACACGGTGGGGGATAGCAGCTCACATTATGGCTTCTGTGCAGCAAGTGGTGAGTATGCTGAAGATGCTGGGAAAGCAGGCAGGGTTTCGCTATTGTCAAAAGCCCTAATGGTGTTGATTAATCGGATTCAGCGCCATGGTTGTGGGAGTAACCCACAGAATGCTTATCCTGCAGGAATTTAGATAAGGCGGCAGAGGAGTTGTGGGAAAAAGTTAAATCAGGAGCAAAAGGCACAGTGGATATCACTGCTACCTTGGGAAGCTTAGAGAGAGCTCTGAAAGCAGTGGGAACAGAGGAGCGGTGTTGGCTGATGGCTTGGGAATTGGTGTTAGGTCAGACTGGGGAGGAAGGCGAAGAGTCGGGGAAGGAGCTTGAGAATGGAGGTGTGGAGACTGTGAAGGAGGGTGAGGAGGATGTTGCAGAAGTTGAACAGAGCAGCAGGGCAGAGTCAGAGGCTGAGCAACAGGAGGAGGAGTCGGGAGTGGATACACCTGGAAGGAATGATGGGGTCGGGGGAGCCACTCTGGGGACTCTGGGGGCAAAGGATGATGTGCCTTGGGCAGCACCTGAGTGGCCTCCCGCAGTGTCTAATTGGAGGGTTATTGGGGTGCCACAATCGCGTTCTCATATGTTCCTGGGACAGTGCCTATGCCCACTGCTGGTTCAGTAACGGCACCCACAGCTCCTCCCCTGTATACTGGGGTGAGTGCCAAGGGGATGGAGGCAGCCGGCCTGCGATTGGAGCAAAAAGGGAGGGAAAAGAACAACAGGGGCCAGTGATTGGAGGAGAAGGGGCTGGGCAGGCGGAACAGGAACTGGGTGTAGAGGAGGCTGCAGCTACGCAAACAACAGTGCAGACGCTACTACGCAAAATGCAGGAGACAATAAAAGAAAAGCAGAGTGGGCAGCAAAGAGGATCGTGTCAAACAGAGGGCTCTGCCTTAAATGACACACTGCAAGAAACTGGAAGGGAGTGACTTATCAGGGCTAAGGACTGTGTATTGATGGGTTGTCAGTTGTGGTCCATTGAGCCTGATGCACCCCCTCCCTCGGCAGCTTTTCTGGTTTTGATGGGTCCAGTTGGGACCCGTCAGTGGAATACTGTAGATTATAAAATTCTGTTGCAGTTGAGATCAGCTATTCAGTCAGAAGGGATATCGGGATTAGGGGTGCAGCTGCTGTTAGATACAATCACGACGTCAGGACCACTTATGTTTGACTGGTGGCAGACCATCAGGGCAGTCTTAACACGGGCACAATGTGCAGTGTGGGAGCAACAGGTGAGGACTCAGGCAGGGACAATTATTATACAAGCGCAGATGGCTATTACTAAAGACAGAATGGCTGCTAAACCTTTGCCTGTTTGGCACCAAATAATGGAAGGACTTAAATTCAACAAGGAAGAATTTCTTCGGACTATTCCCCATCGCCCTTCCTCCCACCCCCGCTGCTGCCCCTTGCTGCAGAGAGCAGCCCGGGTCCGGATTCGATCTGCAGCTTCAACCCCACCCCTGACCACAGAGAAGAGAAATCACAACCCCCCCCCCCCCCTCGCTGCTGCCCTCGGCTCTGCCCCTTGGCGCTCACCCCACTCTCACCTTCGGCTCTGCCCATGACGCTCACCATGCTCTTGCCCTCTGCTCCAACCCAAAGTTCTCCATGCTGCCCCCGCCCTCAGCCCCATCCATGTCACTCGCCATGACACTGCCACCCTCTGCCCCATCCACATTACCTGCTCCTGCAACTCTGCAGCCTGCTGGTAACTTGGTTAAAGATAATAACGGACCTGCATATGCTTGTAAGGCTACACAAACTTTCCTCCAAGAATGGGGGGTTAGACATATTTCAGGCATTCCTCATTCTCCCACTGGACAAGCTATCATTGAGTATACTCATCTAACATTGAAATCTATTCTTAATAAACAAAAAGGGGGAATACAGGTGACACACCACAAGAAAGATTATGGACGGCCCTAAGTTGGTTCCAGCTCAATGCGTTCGGTCTCATCTCAAGGCAGAAAATAGTATCCAGCGTTTATAATGACTGGGATTGTGTGCTTCTTATTTGTTGATATTGCTTTTTAACTTGTTATATTGCAAATAGCAGCAGTAGTAGTGGTATGATATAGTGGGTGATTTTCCTCTGTTATCAATATAGTCTCAAGAATTAGAGTTATTAGGCGTTATCTAGGTTGTTGTGTTCTTCTTTTATTTTAGTAGTAGATTGAATGTGAATTAAACAGGATTTAATGTTACCAGTGCTGTACTCTACGGGAATAGCCCTTTTAATGTATTAGTAACTCTTGGTTATGATGCTATCAGTCTATCATTTAGCTTTTCTTGATTTGCAAAGACAAAACCTGGAAAGAAATCCAGGCAAAGGGATGACCCTGTATTATAGAATGATTAACTCTCTTTCATCACACTAATCAGGATTTTTAAAATATGACCACGCAGCACCTGAGGCAAAGGCGCACACTAAGAGAGCTAACCTTGATTGTTTATTATGTTTTGCAAGCAGGTGCTCCACTTGGGCTCTGTATCACACACTGGCCATGCGAATGCAGTGTACAAATGGAAAATACGCTTCAGACCCTGAGAAGAATAAAACAAGAGAGAAGCTGTGATGGGTGAGAGAGAAAAGTGCACTATGAAGCAGGGACGCCCTGCTGGCATTGCCTATTGCATTCATCACCAAATGTTCTTTTTCTCTCTTTTTCCGCATGTTGTTGATTCTCAGTTAGTAAAAATGCCCCTAGTTCTATCTGGCATGCAAACATTGTCCGACTATTAATTCTCTATTAGCCCAAAGGCATAATCATGAGCACTCTAAAAGCATCTGTTGTACAAATTTTAGTGATCATTCAAAATCAGTATATCAGGATATACGAAAGTTGAAGACCTCTTTCTAATCAGTTAGAGATTAACACAGAATGGGACATTCAGGGATTTATTTCCAGGTTGCATAAAGTTGGGCTGCAGACCAAACAAGTATGTATTCTTTTAGTAGGTTAGCAGTATTTCTTGTCATTATGCTTTGTTTGTATTTCTCACATTTAGAGTATTGTCAATTGAGGCATTGATTGAGTTATAATGATTATGTTATTAATATAATTAGTGTTATGATTCTGCACAATGACAGCTGTAGACGAGGATTAATCTTTTTCAACGGATCCAGTATATCTGCACTTCAACGTGCTATTCTTGACTGAGGGAAATAATAGTAAAAAGTTGGAGACATGGTAGCATGGCATAGAGAGGGGGGAGATGTGGACGATACTTGGTGTGGGTGGTATTCAGGTTATGGTGGGTGGGAAATACAAGGGGTGGTTCTGGGTTATGGTGCTTAATGGGTCACGAGTTCATGGGGCGGTTGCTTGTCACAATATATAGGTGGTTGTTGTGCAGCAATAAATTGGCACTAGAGCTACTCTATGCATGCATCTCTTGTGTCCCTGTAGTGGGTGGGGTGCAGATGGTAGGGGCACTGATGCAGTGTTGTTGACCGGGCTGGGGTTGCATGGAGGTCGGCAACAAAAGGGAGGAAAGAGGATCCAGGCAACTACAGGCTAGTGATCCTCACCTCTGTGCCTGGGGAACAGATTCTCCCAGAAGACAAGGCATATGAGGGATGAGTGGGTGATCTGAGACAGACAGTGTGTTTTTATCAAGGGAAGGTCGTGCCTAACCAATGTGGTGGCACAGACAGCACAGGTAGATAAAGGAAAGGCAACCAATGTCATCTGCCTGGAATTTAGCAAGGCCTTTGACACAGTCCTCCACCACATTTTTTTTCTCTAAATTGGAGAGATAAGGAAAGATGGACTATTCAATGGGTAAGGAATTGGTTGGAGGTCCATAGACACAGGGAGGTTTGTGGTGAATGTCTCTATGTCCAGATAGAGGCTGGTGACAAGCAGTGTCTCCAAGAGGTCTGTCTTGGGATCAGTGCTCTTCAGCATCATCAGTGATATTGATGATGGTCTTGAGTGCACCCTCAGCAAGTTTGCTGATATCGCCAAGCTGAGTGGTGTAGTTGATGCATTAGAAGAAAGGGGTGCTATCCAGGAGGACCTCAACAAACTTGAAAGGTGGACCTGTGTTAGCCTAATGAGGTTCAGCATAGCAAACTGCAAGGTATTGTATCTGGTTTGGAGTAATCCCTGACATTTTTACAGACTGGGAGAAGTCCTTGAGATTAGCCCAGCTGAGAAAGACCTAGGGGTTCTGATGGTTGAAAGAGTGAACATGAGCCAGCAGTGTGCTCTTGCAGCTTGGAAGACCAATGGTATCCTGGGCTCAATCAGAAGAGAGGAGGCCAGCAGGGAGAGAGAGGTGATTGTTTCTCTACTCTGCCATAGTGAGGCCCCAGTTGGACTACTGCATCCAGGTCTGGGGCGTCCAATATGGGAAAGATGTGGAGCTGTTGAGAGGATCCAGAGAGGACAACAAAAATGGTCAGAGGGCTGGAACACCTCCTCTGCAAAGGCTGAGGAAACTGGGCTTGTTCATCCTGGAGAAGAGAAGACTTCAGGGAGACCTCATTGCAGCCTTCTAGTATTTAAATGGGGATTATAAACAGGAGGGAAATCAACTCTTGGGTAGTTAGTGATAGGACAAAGGGAAATAGTTTTAAACTCAAGGAGAAAAGGTTTATACTAGATATCAGTGGAAAGTTCTTCACTGAGAGAGTGGTGAGGTGCTGAAACAAGCTGCCCAGAGAGATTGTGGATGCTGTGTGCCGAAGATGTTCAAGACCAAGTTGGATGGGACCCTGGACAACCTGGTTTAATACCAGATCTGGAGATTTGTTCCCCTGCCTGTGACAGGGGTGTTGGAACTTGATGGTGGTTGAGGTCCCTTCCAACTCAAGCCATTCTATGATTCTGTTTCTCAATTCACTCATCATGCAGACTGTACGTTAATTTGGTATCAGGAACTTGAACTTGAACTTGGTCTTGTAGAAGCTCATTACATTCTCAGTGGCCTGCTTCTCAAGCCTGTCGAGGTTCCTCTGGATATCATCCTTTCCCTCCTGAATATGAACAACAGTATTCAGACTGGTGTCATCCACAAACTTGCAGAGGGTGCACTCAGTTCCACTGTCCATGTCACTGACAAAGGTGTTAATAATACCTAATATTAATACTTATTAATAAATACCTAATATTAATAATTCCTGTGACAGCACAGGCTTAGAAGCATGGAGAGTGCTAGTGGTCTCTCAGCTACAGTTGCAAGATTTTAAGTGGTTCCTAAAGGGCTGAATATTCTGCTAGAAGTGCTAATCTGTCTGTCTTCCAGATACTGAGGATAAGAATTGTTGTACATAAATCTCTGCCTAAATTAGTACATACAGGAAAAAATAACTTGCTAAGGTGATCAGAAGATGAGGAATTGAAACAACTGTGATTATAAAAAATGTATAAAATACTGATCCCATTGCTAACACCAGCTTTCATTTTGCATTCAGACATTTTGCATCTCTGTCATTCCTTTCATGTTAAATAGGAAAGCTTTGTTGGTACTCCCTCCCTCCCTCCCTCTCTCCCTCGCTCCCTCCCTCCCTCCCTCCCTCCCTCCCTCCCTCCCTCCCTCCCTCCCTCCCTCCCTCCCTCCCTCCATCTTCTATGGAGAAAGGAGATACAGGTACATGAGTAATATCATTATTGTGGTACAAAGGGAGGAAAAGCGAAGAAATCACATATACGTTGTTGAATTTGCATTAGGTTCTGTTCATTTCATACTTTTCTATAATATTTTTTACTTTGCCAACTGTCCCCCCTGGAAAATTTAATTTGATGCATTGCATGTATTTGGCATTGCACCCTCTCCTTTCCAAACCTATCTAATCTGACAAGTCAGGACAAACAGAGGTTATGCACATAAGCACTTTAATTTTTTCCTATGCAAACAAAATGAAAATTCTCTTTCCTGCTTTTTGTTTGCAGTTTGGATTTGGAAAGATTAGAATATTCAAAATCAGACTAATCCTCTTATGCATACATTTAGTGCTGCCTGCTGCCATTAGATTGTTCATGATCATTTTGGAAGAACTCTGTTACTTTTTTAGCTTTACTGATTAAACACTGAATCTAACAAAATACACACTACCCACTCAATTTTAGTTAAATTTTCATATTCTCAGTGCTTGATTGACACCATCTTGACTGACTTAAGTGACATGCACTAACTTCAGGAAACAAACATCCATCACACTCAGTGCCTTCCTCTCCTATGATTTTTCTAAGCAAAGGTATTTTTAGACTAGAGGGAGTCAAATCCCACTTCACCGTGGGTTTCACTCACATGTGCTGAGTATAATTCTGTTTTATATGGTCAGATGAAGGAAGAATAAGTGTACAGTCACCAGTACCTTTGAAACTGAATTCTTAAAAAATAGATCTTCCAAACTGGAGATCAGAATATCTCAAGACACTAGCATCTATGATATTTTCTTAAAATTTCTGTTCTAATTTGAAAGTTGACTTGGGCATAAATGTGCTACATGTTGGAAAATAGGGTAGCTGGCAACTGTATCAGATAGACCAGAGAGATACTTGTAAACTGAAGGCTATAGATAATAAAGAATAATTTAAGCAAAATACAAATTTTCTTTACATCCACGAGAAGGTAGTTTCAGTTCATCAGCTTTTCTGGAAGTAATTGTATGCTATAGGAAAGCCAAATATGATAGCGGACTTAGAATATTTTTCTGCTTGTCCTTTCATAGGAAAAAAAAATCTGATAAGCTCTTCAAAAGGGCTATACAATAAGGTTTATGTTCCACTCATTCAAACCTCGTACACTATTAATGTCTGTGAATAAAATAATTAATAAAAAAGACTGAAAAAAAAGTTGTGACTGTTACAGACTTGTTTATCCATGGCTTATGGTCATGTTTGGCCTGGTCCCAACAGTAATGGAGGGGGGGGGCACCCATGATCACATGCCCTGGGAAAAGGGAAAGGGGAAAAATGGGAAAAAGACAGGAAGCTGGCCTAAAAAAAACAACAAACTGTGGCAATGATCTGGGGAGGAAAGCTAATTTACTAAACAAGATACTGGAATGCAAGATAATTTAATAAACTTAGTATAATTCAATATAATACAATTGAAGCTAATAGAGCAAATAAAATGAGAGAGAAAGTGTCCAAGAACTGAAGACCTTTCTCTAATGCTGAAAGAGAGGCGTCTAGCTGGGACAAACAGAAAGGCAAAAGAGAGGGATGTCTTGTGATCTGTGAACAGTTTTGTCTTTCCCTATGAATAAAAAAACAGAAGCAGAAAAACAACTCAGAGTCCTCTGGGGCATGTATTATGTAGATCTTCTCTTCTGAGGACCAAGTACCCAGAAATATCAGCAGTCCATGGAACTGGAGCAGTAATCTTTAACACCCAGTGCAATACATGATTTTGATGTGGAATACTGATAACAAAAAATCATGAAATCATGACAATCCTACAGATCTGAAGTTTCCTCATGACTTTTTAAAGTCAGGTGAAAATTCACTGGCTTCCCCAGAGGATGAATTGTCATCCTCATGTAATTTTGATTTTGAGAATCACAGAATCATAGAATCATAGCATCATAGACTGGCTTGCATTCCAAGGAACTTTATAACACATCTTGTTCCAACCCGTCTGCTATAGCGGGGTTGCCAGCCATTAGATCATGCTGCCCTGGGCCATATCCAAACTTGTTTTGTACACCTCCAAGGATGGGGCATATACAGCTTCTCTGGGCAGTTTCTTCTTGTGCCTTGTCACTCCCTGAGTAAAGAACTTCTTCCTAACATTTAACCTAAATTTCCACTTCTAGTTTAAAATCATTTCCCCCATGGTATAAGTGTCTTCCCATGTAAAAAAATTGGTCCCTTGCCGAAAGTTGGTCCCCTTAAGCACTGAAAGGTCACAATGAGGTCACAGCAGAGCCTTCTCCAGGCTTAACATGCTCTCTCATCTTTTCATCCATCTGGATGTACTCCAGAATTTTGATAATTTTTATTCCCCTTCTCTGGACATGCTTCAATGTGTTTCTTGTATTGGGGCCTCCATGTCTGGATGCACTATTCAAGATGTGACTTCACAAGGATAGGATCATCACAAGGAGGGGGATCATCACCTTCCTCACCTTACTGAACAACCCTCCTTTGTTTCCAGGATGCCTCTGGCCTTTCAGGCTGCACACTACTGGCTCATATCCAGATTTTTTGTCTACCAAAACCATGAAGTCTTCCTTGGTGGGCCTGCTCTCAAGGATTTTTTCTTTTAGTCTATTGACATATCTGGATTTCCCCAACTCAAGTACAACTTGCACTTTTTGAATCTTATTAGGCTTTTATGGACCCACTTTTCCAGCCTGTTCTACAACCTCTGGGTAGCATCCCTTCCTTCTGTTCTGTCAACTGCACCACTCAGCTTGGTGTCATTGGCAAACCTGTTGAGGGTATACTCCATCCCACTGTCTATGATGTTGATAAAGATGTTGAAGAGTGCCAGCCCCAAGACATGGGAAACACCACTCACCTGGACACAGAACCATTGATCTCAACCTTCTGACTATGTCCATCCAATTCTTTTCTCACAGAACAGTGCAGTCTTCAAACCCATATCTCTCCAACTTTGAAATAAAGATTTGATGTGAGACAGTGTCAAAGGCTTTGCAGAAATCCAGGTAGATGACACCAATTGCCTTTTCTTTGTCTGATTATGCTATCACTCCTTCATAGAAGGCCACTGTATTTGTCAGGCATGATCTGCCCTTGGGGATGCCATACCGGCTGTCTCAGAACAGCTTCTTGTCTTATATATGCCTTAACATCTCTTCCAGGAGCACCTGTTCCTTGATCTTCCCAGGTACAGACATGAAATTACTAGCCTATAGTTCTCTGGAGCTTCCTTTCTCTCTGTCTTAAAAATAAGAGAAATATTTTTTTCCCTTTTTTCAGTCACTGGGGACTTCACTTTACAGCCATGAATTTTCAAATCTGATGGAGTAGAATTTGGAATTGGCCAATTGTTTCAGCACTGGGGGATGCGTGTCATCTGGCCCCATAGACTTGTACACATTCAACCTAATGAGACAGTCTGATTTGCTTTGCTCTAACAGTAGGAGAAATTTTTCTTTCCCACAGTCCCACAAAAGGCTCAGGAATGTGAGAGATGTGAAGAGACTGACTAGTAAAAAAGACCAAAGCAAGGAACTTACTGAGTAACTCAGCTTTCTCCATGTCAGTTGAAACCATCCTACCTGCTCATTTATCAGATGGGGGTACAGAGCATACTACACTATCTTTTTAAGCAGTATAACAATTTGTCGGAGGCTGACAAATTACCATGCAGGCTGCAATTTTACTTCACAAAAAGCTCAGCTTCTTCTTCACTAACATTCCAGATAAGGAAAAACACCTTTACTTTTGATTTTCTTAAAGGCAGTGCACTAAACTGATCAAAGGAAATTGCCCTTAACCTTTTACGCTTCAGCACTTTGTTTTTATCATTGTTTTCAACTAAACTTAAAAATACCTTCTTACTCTGTTGCCAGCTGGCCATGTTCTGGCCAGTCCCAAGGAAATTTTGTTATATATCACTTCAACCAGAATCTGTTTCACTCTTCAGAAATACTGAGTTACCTCTGTTTAAAACTTTTCCATTAAGACTGCAATTTTTTTTTGAGAATAAGCATATAAGTGCATGCACACAAATAGTTGATGAGGTGAGGCTGCACTTCTAGAGGTTGCCTCATCCTACAAGTTACTGATTTAGATGATATTACAGATTAGACTGTCCTGGGAACAGTAAGATTTTCATGGACTTGATAAAGAAAGAAAAGCATTTAGAAAAGAAAAAATTAGTATAATCTATTCTTTTCTTGACTTGTTTTGGAAGATATAAATAATATACTCCAGACATTAAACATTGAAGTTATTTAATACTGGCAAGTATTA